GCTGGTTGCCATGACTCTATTGCCTACTGTACAGATACTCCGCAATCACTTTTACTTATTGTAGTGTCCTATCACTGCTTCCGTTGAGTCTACATGCTAGGACTCATTTTTTCAACCCTATTTCCTGAGCAGTGAACTAATTGTGATGGACAAAGAAAATTGAAGTTACAAATTGCGGAAAAAGTGGGGAGATGAGTGCTAGAAAAAAACGCCTTTTGAATTAAACAAGTCTCAGTTGAAGCAAAGTTTCTGCTCAATCAAAGCACTATAATCCGAACAATACACTCTTCTAAATGCCTCCCCTATAGCAGTTTTCTTCAAAATTGTCGACGTTGCTCGTAAGCTTCTGATTTTTCAAATTTCGTCGTAAATAATTGGATTGTCACATGCGATAAGTACTACTATAAAAGTAAGTTTGTGCTTCACATTCCTGTTGCTACTGCAAATGTTACCGGATAAGGAACTAATGGTTTTATCCGATGACACAAACTGACTTAGTGGAAATCATTCCCTAACTCTTCTGAGAGATTCGTCAAAACTTTAGATATTCGAGTAATGGTTTGATTGAAAATCTCGGGCGGTGCAGTGTTATTGAAGAGCGTCACCNGACAACAGAAGTTGGTCGTTTAAAATGCAATTGTAACTTGGGTCACTTTTTGATGCGTGTAGGAGGGAAAGAAAACAAAAGGATTAAAAAATTGAAGAACCTGGATCCGCTGGAACAGTGTGTTCAATTCTACATCTTCATCTATTTCTGCTGAAGCTTTTCGTGATTCCGATGGATGCCGTGGACCGTGTGACGACGCTGAAATACTTGCGCCATTCTTATTCACATTTCAAGAGAATCGAAAAAACTACAATATAAAGTAAGAGGTGCGCTTATAGGAATAGTTCATGTTCACGATCAGTTTAGGCTAGACGAATAATGGAGGTGACTCTCTGGAATAGAGGGGGAAAAATAGCACAGTAAATGCGATAAAAGGTGTGTTTGAAAATGGTAGGCTTCTAAATGTTGTAGGATTAAGGTTGGACGAGAACGTGATGGCAAAAATTGCATGGAAGGGGTTTTGAACGAGCTGTCCAAATTTGGGTGCCATTGCGTACAATTGGGTACAGTAAGCTGCCTGCCGCGACGTGTGGGTCCGCAAGTGCGAATGACACAACCTCGATAGAACTCGTCCGCCTTGGGTGTGCACGTCGGCTGAGCCGGTTCCATCCCCTTAGTACGCCCTACGTTGGCCGTTTCTGAGGACCCGACGAGTCCCTCGGCTATCTTTGAGGGTCACAGGTTAGAAAAGAGAGAAATCCAGAAAGCATTCCTAACTGAACTATGCCCATAAGCGCCCGCTAATCCCATTTTATACTTTTGTACGCCTATCTATTAAGAGCGGAACAAACCGGAGGATCGAAAAGCATTCTGTCAACATCGAATAACGTAGCTCAAGAAGTAAGAAAAATTGTTTTCGAGCGACGATCAGCATCGCATGTCGCCCAGCGGTCACATTGTCAACCGCAGCCGCAGAAGAGAATTCTTTTTCAGTATGTTTCTTCTGTGTTGCACTTTCATTGAGCAGTTTCATTTATTGCAGAAGATCCGCGCCCTTTACCGCTAGTGCATCATAGAACACGTGCATTACTTATAGAACAATATTATAGCGACCAGAAAGGAGAAGTTAGAACTGCACTAAAATATTCAGCGTGCGGCAATAAATTGGCGACAACCATCAAGGTCCGTACCAGAATTAAACTCTAAAGATTGAAAAAAGAGATCCAGCCTCAATATAGCAGCAGAAGGATTAGCACTATCAATGATACCAGATGTCTTTACCCCCACAGCCCTTTTATGCATAGCGCTGGTGATGAAAAGATTAGAACAAGTTAAATAGAAAATTATGCGGCAGGAAGAGCCTTGTAGAAGCACCATTTTAGCATTGAGGCAGCTACTTTTACGGAGACTCTCTGTGAGTAGCCAGTTAGGGACAACAACAAAAGCTCGTTCATTTTTCCATGCTATTTTACGGAGTACCAAACCTTGGGAAGGGGCAGTAGGAACGATTTTGTGTAATCGATCTTCCGCACGCGGCTGTCGCGGACCATTTGCCCTCGTTATAACCGTTCCAGCGATCTTCATACGGGTGTGTGTCAAGTCGTGTGTCGGTGCGTGCGGCAAACTGCGCGGCGAAGTTCGTGGCGAATTTGGACGACTCCGGTGCCTATCATTGGGGCCCAAATCGGAAGTGGGTTAGATTAGTAAGGTCAGCTGATCCTACTATTTTACTGTACTTCAAAATTGGGCCCAAGTAATAAGCGCTAAAGTCGTCAGAATAGGTATGAATTTCGCCGCGCAATTTGCCGCGCGCGCCCTCGGACGCACGACTTGACCGGCCCCCTCTTCATACAGTTCAACTGCTATGCGATGATTACTTTTGGCATGATTCTACTGTTAGTTCTTTTGTTCCTGTANTGTATAGGTGTAGCGAATGTTTCAATAACACGCTACACTCCCATCAGATTACTGGGTTATCGCCAAACTGTGGTCTACCTTGGAGCCATCATACAATACACTTGTACACCCACTGTAACATTTACCATGCCGTTGACCAAACAGACATACTCGCGATTAGTGAGTACTCACTTTACGCGATTGTTCAGGGTATCCTCATAGCTATCGTATTCATGTGTTACTGTATTTTCGTAAGCTGGCAATCAACCTCATAACAACTTCGCAGAAATGTGTGGTCATAGGAAAATTGTAAAAGCGTGACCGAAGGCAGCTCTGCACAAGAATTTCTGAGAACTCGGAATCGTTCGGATAATATATGGTACGGGAACAACTCGACGCATTAAATGGCTTTGAAGGATTTGAGAGTGGACACATTTCTCGAAGAAGAAGAAGAATAAAAACCAACATTGTAGTCCAGATGGACCAGCAGCCATATAATCTTGTTGATCTCCCCCGCCCTCCATTATTTCGCAGAAATCGGTCTGAAATTTCACATACATGGCAAAAAGATCGATGACTAGTATTCACAGTGCACATGAACTAACTTCTTCCGATGACGAATAAGAGGAATCGTAGTTGATGTTGTAGGGTGAGGTTTCGCTGCTACTGTGATGCTCGTACGAAGACTTCTTTTGCCACTGAAAATATAAAGTTCAGCCAGACGACGGTTGGAAGGGCTATGAAAAAGCTAGTTCCAAAGCATTTAAAATGGAGTAAGGACAGATTGGGTTAAGCACAGGTTTATGCCAAATAGGAAATGGCGATCCATTTGAAGTATTGCTTTTTAGTACTTCGAAGCAAAATCAATTTAATTTATTTTTAAATTGCACAAAATTTTTCAAGTGTTGTGTCACATTCGTGCCGAACATGCTTCGGTGCACGATTAACGCTGCAGTGCATGCTTAGGCGTAAGGGTGCATTATGAATGTTCATGTATATGAGCAGGAGCAACAATATATTCGGGTCACACTATAGGGAAGGTAGCCAATAAAATTGAGCCTTCAACTGAGAAAGATATCTCTAGTCATCTTATATAAAAATAATGGAAATGGGCACCTAGGCCAACACATTTGTCATCCCTTTATCATTTTGAATTGAAGTATATTGCGGGGGTACATCTTAAAACGGGAATGATCCAAAAACTCTAATCCAAGATCCAAAAACTTAATCTCTAATGCTTTCTGTCAGCCTTCATTCTGTTTTTATTTCACTCTCATCATTCCGATCATTCTGTTTTTATATCTCCAACTTTCTTTCCTATTAGGTTGATGCATAATTATTGCGGATTTTTTCGCG